TGCCACCCCTACTCTCTATATGTGTAAGGGTAAGGGTGTATACATCTGTCCCTTTGCGGGAACCTCGTGCACTAGGCCACCCTTTTTAATTAGGTTCAGGGTGAGGAAGGGTGTACAGACATGGTAGTTAAGTAATAATCAATGCTAGTTCTTTATTTATTATTTTTTTATCAATGCTAGTTGTTGGTGCATTAAATAAATGGAGGGTCCTGATGGCATAAACATAGAAATAAATATAAAAATTTACAAAAAAGTATAAAACAATTAGTCACATTTATGATATTTTTATTAATCAAATTAAAAAATAAGTGTAATAAATAAGAATTATTTTTATTGATAATAAAATTGAAATTCGTAATTTAGAACTAACCAAAAATGAAATATAAAAATTAATAATACATAATTAAACTTTTGGGTTAAATGTGTTAACCTTTAATGTCCTTAATAAATAATAAAATTTAATAAAATATAAAAATACAAAAACGAAAAAACACATAAATTTTGGAAAGAAAGCATTCAGGCACATGTATAATGTCATGTATCATATTGAACAAGAAGTAAGTGTGATATATCAAAGTTATTTTTACACACAAAAGTATAGAAAAATTTAACACATCTATAATTTTATATTTACACTACTATTAAAAATATGAATAATATTGTGGAACTTTCTTTTGATTAAAATCAAAATTTTAACAACCAATCCAGAAATGGAACCACTTTGACTTTTGGTTTCTGGGTCGACTGTTCAATTGTCCAATTTGAGCAAGTCAAACTAATAAGATGTAAAATATAATGCAACTTTTTATTTTAATTGTTAGCTTAGGATTAGGTTGAAAAAGAGGCAACTGGTTAAAGCTGAGAAGTGAGAACAAAGAAGAAGAAGAAGAAGAAGAAGAAGAAAATTGAGCGTCACCGGAAGTGGTTGTCACCATGTTCACCAATCGTTATTGCAGAACCGTTTTGCCTTGAGAAGAAGAGGAAGAAAAAGAACAAGAAGGAATTGCCACCAACGGCTATCTCCATGTTCATCATCACCACCATTACAATACCATTTGCCCTCTTCTTACATCTCTCTCATCTTTCTAAATGTTTCTCAGCTCCTAGATCGTTTGCTTCATTGGTGTATCTTAGATTTTAATATAAGATTGGTGTTTAATCTCCCATCTCTTGCATCAATTTTTAAATTTTTTTATTGCAATTGCAATTTTTTTTTTTTGCTATTACAATTTAAAAAGAATAACATAAATGAGAAAACTCAAAATCAAAATGGAAAAACTAAAAAACCTAACTAATTTTGGTTACCGGGAATAACCAAACAAGTTTACGAGATATGAAAGTTTCCTTTCTCATTTTTCTTTGTTTTCTAATTTTTATTTTAAAATAAATAAAAATTTTGGAAATAGTTTGAAAGCAACTCAAGAACGTTAATCGGGTCGAACATTTTAACGATTAAACCGTTTGGGTCTGTAGTTCTTTCATCATTTCAATGTTTTTTTCTTTTTTTTTTTTTGTAAAATAGTGGTTTAGGACCAAAATGGAATTGGTGACTTGACCAGTTCCTAGTCCCAATGGTTTGATCGTCCAGTTTGGTCTGGTTTTAAAAATGTGACTAAAACACTCATTTTTTAATTTAATCCATATTCAATTGTAAGGTTTAAATTGTAAATTGAACTATTATTTTTCACCTCATTCAATTCCCTCTATTTAAATCTTACATTTTTTTTTAATAAATGAACAGAAGAAAAAAGACACACCACAAAGATAAAATACTACAAAAAGAAGAGTTTAGCCAAGTAGGTAGGCCTGTCAATGATACTTGAAACTTCACATTTTGATTCAATTATCACATATTTGGATGATGTGTTTATGTAATGAAATTTGATCGAAGATTAATAATAAAAACAAAAAATAGCAACAAAAAAATAAAAAATACATAAAGTTTATAGAAAATTTTGGATATATTACTACTATAATTATCATCATTTAGAATTGCCACGTGCAAACCCTTTACTTCTTTGTTTGAGAAAGGGTATAAAAGTCATTTTATTATCGCTTTAATGCCAATTTTAATGTCTACTAAAATGCCTATACTTTTGTATTTAATCCCATTTCTAATTGTAGGGGTTGAAAATGTAACTTTAATTATTACTTAAGGTATTAAATCCTATTTTTTCTTATTAAATCCTATATTTTAAGTTATTTTTCACTAATAAGTGCTACTAATTAGATTTATGTCAATATTTTTAACAATATAAGCCCATATATTTTAAAATTGACTAAAAAACAAAACCATTTTTTATCCAAGTGGTGGCTAAGCAATTCAACAATCTGAATCAAATAGATCAACTCACGAAGTCATAGTTAGGTAATAATTTTTTAAAATGTAAATAAGTATAGAAAATTATAAAAAAATAGCACATTTATGATATTTTTATTAATTAAATTAAAAAATAAGTATAATAAACATGAATTATCTTTATTAATAATGAAAATGAAATAGATAATTTAGAACTAACCGAAAATGAAATATAAAAATTAATAATAAATAGTTCAACTTTTGGGTTAAATGTGTTAACCTTTAACGTCATAAATAAATAAAATATAAAAATACATAAATTTTGCAAAAAAAAACATTCAAACACATGTATAATATTATATATTTATCGTATTAAATAAAAAGTAATTGTCACATATTAGAATTAGTTTTACATAGAAAAATAAAAAAAAAATTGTAGAAAAAGTTGAATACACCTATAATTCTATATTTACACTACTATTAAAAATATGAATAAAATTGTGGAACTTTCTTTTGACTAAAATACTCATTTTTGAATTTAGTCTCTACTTAATTGTAAGGTTTAAATTGTAAATTGAATTACTACTTTTCTCCTCATTCAATTTTCTCTATTTAAATCTTACATCTTTTTGATAAATATACAAAAGAAAAAAGATACACAAAAAAAGAAAATAAAACACTACAAAAAGAAAAGTCTTGCAAAGCAGGTAGTCTTGTCAATGATATTTGAAACTACACAACTCGATTTGATTATCACATATTTGGATGAGGTGTTAATGTAATTAGATTTGGATTTTGCAATTTTCATTTGATTAATAATAAAATGTAAAAATATAAAAATAAAAAATACATAAAATTTATAGAAAATTTTTTAATATATTATTAATATCATCATTATCATATAGAATTGGCACATGCATGCTTACTACTATAGGATAAAAGACTTGAACATTCATTGATATTTCTCGCAATTATTGAAACCTTCCCTCTCTTTTCAAATTGGACCAAGTCCTCCCTTGTTAAAGTTATGTTTAATGGAGAGACATATGTGCCCACCATATTCACCACTGGCTTATAGTAAATGGAGCCCACTCCAAACAGATTTGGGATCCTTGAGAAAAGATTTCTACATACAGCCAAAATCAAATGTCCTTTTTCTGTTAAGCTCTCATATCAGTTTCATTTCTTTTTTTAATGATCTCTCTATTACACATACATATACACACATCCCTACATCCCTACCTCACCCTATCACGACCTATCGACCTTTTAGGCTGTATTTGGTTTGAAGGAAAAAATAGGGAAAGGTAGAAAAACTTTTACAAACCTTATATTGGTTTCTCTACCTTTGCCTTCATTTCCCTACCTTTTCCTTTAAACCAAACATAGCCTTCAGGTATGCTTTTTCTTGGATTCCTATTTGTAGTCATTCTAAATGAGGAAAGAGGATGGGGAACCATGGTTGCAAGTTGTAATCATGAAATTATATTGAAGAACCTTTGACGGGAAGACTGAGTGGAGGAACCCATCAAAATTTAAGTTTTCTCTAAAATTGTATCTTAAACAGATCAAAAATCTTAATGGGTCCAGGTCACGGCCAAAGGATCATAAATTTGTACCACCTTCATCCTACCTCTAGGCTGATCATCAAACACCGAAAAACCGAACTGAATTAACGAAACCAAACCAAAAATTCCAATTAACTAAACTGGTTGATTTGGTTTTAGTTCGGTATTTTTAAAAAACTGAATGTACTGGTTTGGTTTCAGTTAACCAATATAAAAAACCGACAGTTAATCAAATTGACCAATATATATATACTTATAGATATTGTATATATTTATGTGTATTATTTTTTCATATAAATTTTATATATCATAAATGGATATATATGTATTACATATATAAATATGTTTTCATAATATATAATATATTATTTATTTTTTATAATATAAATATATTATATCTATTTCTAGTTTTTGTATTATATATTTATATATTTATTTATAATATATATTATAAATAGCAAAAAACAAAAAACCAATGGACCAAACCGATAACTGATCAATGGTTAACTGATTGGCTTCGGTTTGATTTTGATTTGTGATTTTCCAAAATCCAGCATCCCACATCAGGGGTCAGGGCCACTTCTCTTACAGTCTTACCAATAAAAAAAATTCATTTTATTTCTTATTTTACTTCTCACAAAAAGACAACATCAAATATAAATAAAAAATAGACCAGAATTTACACTCAGCCCATCAAAATTCGAAACAAAATTTACACAGCCTATTTCTATTCTGATGAAGATGAACAAAAACCGGTTCAAGTCAACCAAACGCAGCCTTTTATTGTTTACATGCACCTCAAATCTGTTGGATGATCCTTCACACGATTTGCTAAATCTAATACTAATAATTATTAGATTTAATTATTAATTTATATTTATTAAATTTAGACTTGCCACGTGTCTCAATGTGAGTGCTCTAATAATATTATGATTAATAACCTGGATGTACTCTAGGCTTTACTATTTACACCCCAATCTTTGGGATCTTTTACACAATTTTTTAAATTAATTTTCACTTGCATTTAATAATTAAAGGCCATTTTCTTCAAAATATCGTGTTAAATTACTTAGCCTCCGAGAATTTCCCGACAAATTGCTCTGTTCATTGACTCCGTCGCTGCGACTCCGAGATGGCTAGGCGCCTTATGGCGCTCACTCGATTTATAACGAGTAACGACTACGGGCCCTTTCTCTCTTCTCTCTCTCTCTCTGGATTTATGACGACTACGGCGCCCCCCCTCTCTCTCTCTCTCTCTCTCTCTCTCTCTCTCTCTTTGTCTCTCTCCGTGGAAGATTCAAAGGATACGCATCCCTTCATGGACTCGGGTGAGACAGTGAAATATAAAAATGTTTTCATCTGCGGTTCAGCGATTGAACTTGAAGTCCCTTGTTTCTCTGTTATCGTGCGCACCGGGAGGAAACTAACCTACGCAGCTTTCTAGTTTCTCCCCCGGCAACTTCATTTTTTCGCAGATGATTTCTGTCTCCATGTATGCCACTTCTGCATAGCTTCAAAGGTGAGTTTCCATATCTGGGTACCTTAGAACCTCTGTGTTTTAACATGGGTTCTTTGAATATGTTTATGAAGCTATGTTGTTTGTTGTGAATTTGATGTAATTGAAATATTTTTCTAGTTTCTGGGTGTCGGATTGTTGGGTTCTTTATGATTTTGTTTTCTGGGTACAATTCATTTGACTGCATGATACGTTTTGTATTTTTCATTGAAGATTTTAATCTAAAATGGTCTAGTTTTTTCTTGAGATATGTTGATTCTGGAGCTTAATAGTTCAGAACTTCCTTTCGAGGAGAAGGGATTTTTCCTACTTTTCGTCTGATGATTGAATTTTTGTCCCTTTCCTTTTTTTTTTTTTGTTGCTTTGAATAAATCATGAGAAAAACATATATGGGATTTTGATAATTGAGATAGCTTACCTTTCTTAATTTGCTTTGCTTTAAGATTGTGTCAGACTTTAACCATGTTTCTTTATTAAGATGTAATAATCATGTGGAACATATCTTTTCTTTTTCTTAATATTTTATTTTATATTTTTTTCCTTTGATTTCAATTAAGAGGTGCAAGATTGAAGACATGAAGTAAAGGATAATCATACACAACAGATTTGCCAGGCTCTGTTTGCATAAAGTCACTTTTCTCGGTGTTAATTGTGTGATCCAATTCTCCTTGATTGCTTAACAACTGAAGAGTCTGAAAGATCTAGAGTTTAATTCAGGAAGAACCCAGAGCAGGAACTGAGTTACTTCCATGCCCTATATGAATTCTGCCCTAGGCATTTTTTGTAGCTTTATAATGTATATGTAGATACATGCCATTTATTGTTTTCTCGCTTAGAGGTGGTTTTAAGGCTTTGAAAATACTGAATTTTAAGTAATTAGTTTAACATTATATTACCTTACAGGAGTAAGGTGTGAAAATCATTCATTCCGTCCTATTTCTAATGTGTGTGGTTGGACCAGTGCCTACCAGGGCTATTTAGTTGCCTGGGTGAAAATGTAAGAATCTGTTCAGTTCTGGGAAATTGGGTATTATGACCTTGAATCATTTGAACTTTTAAGAAGTTCTTACTGTTAATAAAAAGAAGAATGAAAGCTCTAGAATATCTATTTATCAAAAATAAAAAGATCTAGAATATCTAAATTACTTTATCTACTGATGATTGCTGATATATAAATCAGTTTGTCTTAGGTGATGATTGGCTACAACAAGGCTATTAAGATTCTCTTAGGTGGTATTTGGTTATTTCTGTCCAAGGCTTGGGTGGGTGGGTGGTGGTAGCAGTGTTGGTTTTATAGTTATAGAGTATATATGCAAAAGAAAGTTAGAGACTTTTATAGGAACATGAGCCAGCAGTGAAGGTTATCTTTGTTTATTTTGATCAATAACTTTAAAAAATTTTATTAAGATAATTGTATAAAAGAGTGTTGTACAGAGTGATACCTTGGGCCAGACCCTGTTACTCACCCTTCTTTTCCTTTCCTTTATTACAAATCCTTTCCTGGGGTATCATTCCCCAGTATAATTGCTCCCTTCTTTTCCTTTCCTTTATTACAAATCCTTTCCTGGGGTATCATTCCCCAGTATAATTGCTCCCTATGCACTTCTTGTCTTGCAAATACATCAGCCATGTCATTTACCAATCTAGGGGTCCACCTGTAACTGGTTCCAATTTTGTAGCCATTTTTTTATATCTCTAATTTCGTTTCAATATTTCCATGGGCCCTTATTGTTCTTTGTAAACCATACAACTACTACATGTGAATCTCCAACTAGAAGATTTCGGAGGTTCATACTTTTAGCCAACTTCAAACCATATTGGATTGCCAACAGTTCTGCTCTTGTGAAATCCCCATATCCTAAGAATCTAGAAAAAACTGCTAATATTATTCAAATATATAGAGGGGATGGAGTGTTATATACAAGGAAAAAGTCTTCTAATCAGGTCAATTAAGAAACTTATTTTACAACCGCACATATTTCTGCCACATGGAGAGATCCTTTGGCTGATCCAGAGCATCCACTGGATATGGACTTCTTTTAAGCTCTAAATTAAATTGTTTGTGGAATATTTCTAGGTGAACCTACTAGCAAATCTGTTCCTGTTATACAAAATTATAGAGGGAAAGTTAGATTCTCTAAAGTTGTGATTGGTTATTACCACATGGGTATGTGCCAACTGCCAAGAAGGGGGGATTGGTGGTGTTATAGCTTGTAAAATACAAAAGAAAAATTAGATAACTTTAGAAACTGTATGTTGCATCAAGGCTGTCACTTCCAGAGACTCTTTCTGCAAGTCTTTAGGCACAATAAAGCAATACTTTAGGTGTTTCTGACCTTTTAGAAGGTTCTACTGGGAAAAAAAGAGTGCAATTGGATCTGCAGGATTTGTTATTGTGGATTGAATTTCTTTCTAGATCAGATTTTTTGGACCTAACAATTGCAGTATGGAAACTTATTTGACATTTTCATGTTAAAAGAATTCAGAATTTTAAGGTTGATGTTTTATGCAATATGAGGATTATGTGTAACTATCCTTGGTAGGTTCTGTGTACTCTACTGGAGAGGAAATGAAAGGCCATTTCTTTAGTCTCTAAAATGTCTTAGAAGGCTGTCCCATCTGTGGTTCTTAGTACTTGAGTATTTTAATGGTCTTTCTTCCTAGAACTCACTGCATCATGTAGAGAATTAGCATGTAGACCAAATATCCTGGCATGCTAGGAATTGAATATTGGAACTTCAGAATCATGGCTTCTATGTGAATTCAAAATTAGCGATGAAATAATTGGCAAAGGTGTTTATTACTTCAAGTTTTTATTTTGTAAGTTTAGTTTTTCTTCACTAGTGAATTACACTTCAGGTAGTTATGGTGGTACATGATGTTGAACTGATATAGCATATTTAAATAACATATCTGCTTCTAATTGTTCATATTGGCAGGGCTGGGTTTTGATTTTATATGAACTGTTTCTTGACCAAGAACAGTTTCTTGGTGGTGTAGCATACAGCAATGACTTGTTTCTCTTTCAGATTTGGGAAAAAGGCTGGTCCAGCTAAAGGATATGTGGGTGATGAAGGTAATCACATAGAAAATTTTACTAATACCAACTATTTCCAGAAGAATCATGTTTTTCTTTTCTCTTGTTTTTTTCTCAATTGGTTAGAATTTATTTGAAGCTAGTCCCGTTTTCTTAATTTATTAGTGAGTTTATTTGTTATCTAAGTTTTCAACTTATGTCACACGTATAGATACTTGGGATCTTGTTTTATACATTTGGCTGCTGAGATGGTAAACCCAAAATGGGTACCTATGGATCTTCATATTATACATGTGCCATCTGGCAAGTTTCATTTGATTATCCCATTCCATGTCATCAAAGCAGTAATCCTTAGTTGAAGGGCCATTATTCTTAGAAGTGATATACGTGATAATGGAATGTTGGATGGGTGTGGACAGAGATTCATTGAGGGGCACAAATTGGTGACTAGTGAAAAATGGTTAAATTTAAGACAAAAACTGAATCCACTTCTGTGAACATAAAGTCAAACTATAAGACCATGAGTTGCTCAACTCGAGCCTGACAGAAGATTGATATATAACTCCTAAAATGACTCAGGTTGGTTGGGTTAAGATTGGATTATAAGATCACCATAAGGTAGAACTAATTAAAGTGAACTTTTGTACTTTGAAATTGTCAGATTCAGCTCCAACCCTGTTGTTGCTTCTGATAAGATGAATATATATATGGCATATTACATTTTCAGATTCACATTTGATCAGTTTGCTTAAGGTGTCAATTCAAGCACAACATTACCTATAATCATGCTGAGGAACCTAAATTTTGGGTCGTAGTAACTTTGGTTTGAGCCCAGATCGGCTGCATATGTGAAACCTGAGTTTCTCGGTAATCATGATGGTGAGATTATGCATTCAATAATCTTCATGAGATAAAGTGGTTCACATCCTAAAATCCAGAAACAGAAAATGAGACCTGCATCCATAAACAATGCATTGTTACTTCCTGTCATGTTTGTCATTTGTCATGCTCTCTGGAGTTGGAACATTAATAAAGCAATTGGAAAGCATGTTGCTCCTGGCATGTAACCTGCAACAACGGCTGTGCATGGACATTTACTCTGAGGTAACCTTGCTGCTGAGGTTACAGAAATTGCAGGAAGTTATAAGATGTTCCTATGGTTGCTTTCACTAGAATGGAAAGAAAATATTTTAGGAAGAAAGGTAAGACAACGGGAGAAGGGTAGCTAACAGAGTCTCATTGCTAGATTCCAGTCCCTTGCTTAGAATCTCTTTAACAAAGAGAAGGAAAAATGTTGAGTCTTGCCACTGGAAGATGAATCGTTGCATCGTAATTGGGCCCCATAATGTAGCCAATAGGAGATTCACTAAGGACAGATTCTACCTCTATTACAAGGATTGAGTCCAGAAAAGCTGCTTCTATACAGGCAGATTGAAGTGGACAGAGACTCTAAATTAGTTTTAAGCTGGATGCATATGGACGATTTGGGAATATGGAGCATGAGGGAGGTGTGGTGCTTGGCAAAGGAAGTTGGTGCTAGATTTGAATGTGCTAGAAGATCAGCGAATGGGTAGCTGATTCTTTGGACAACCAAGGGGTTAACAGGGAAATTCTATTTTGGGCAGTTTTGTAATGTTTATCTTATTCTTTGAGTCTTTTTCCCATTTCTGTTAATGGTTTTGTACTTTGCAATCTTCTTTTAATCAATAAAAATTGCTGTTTCCTATCAAAAAAAAAAAAAAAACAGAGAGAAAAAAACTAAAAGAGAGGTGCATCACTACAAGAGTTTTGAAGCACCCAAGTTGTAAAGGAGCCCTGTGGATGTGGGTCTAAAGCCACATGGGTAAGTTCTGTTTCTGCTGCATCATGTGATCTTTTTATTTAACAAACTGGACTATCACAAACTTGTTAGAATGCATTACATGGATTCTGCTGCATCATGCGTTCTTTTTATTGGACTATCACTAGCTTGTTAGAATTCATGACATGGATCCATTGCTTATGCTTGTTTTCATGCTTCTGATGATATTAAATCCGATCGCAGATGTCTCAGGCATGCAGAATGTTAATCTGTTCCCTTACAGAGAATTGAGAAATGCCACTGATGATTTTAATTTGGCTAATAAAATTGGTGAGGGAGGTTTTGGTTCTGTTTACAAGGTAATCACATAATGGATTTACAGTTTTACTTATCTTTCTCAAAATAAGGAAGACTACATTGTTACAATGAACACTTGATTATCATTGTTCAGGGGAGTAAGCTATTCTTCTTGCAGCAACTGATGCCTGGTTTTTGAAATACTTGTGTATGGTCAGGGAATACTAAAAGATGGCAGAGTTGCAGCTATAAAGGTTCTTTCAGCTGAGTCAAAACAGGGGGTAAATGAGTTCCTGACAGAGATAAAAGTGATCTCTGCTATAGAGCATGAAAATCTAGTCAAGCTATACGGTTGTTGTATTGAAGGAAACCATAGAATTTTGGTGTATAACTATCTTGAGAAAAATAGCCTTGCACAGACTCTACTTGGTAATATTTCAATTTAATATTTGATTTGAAAATCCATAGGCATTAATTACATCTATCATGACTTAAAATTCGGTTTACTTTCAGGTGGAAGTCAGAGTGGTATCCAGTTTAGTTGGAGAACACGGTATGCAATTTGCATTGGCATTGCACGTGGTCTAGCATTTTTGCACGAGGGAGTCAGGCCATATATTGTTCATAGAGACATTAAAGCAAGCAATATACTTCTTGATGAAAATCTCAACCCCAAAATTTCAGATTTTGGTCTTGCAAAACTTATTCCGTCCAACATGACTCATGTCAGTACACGTGTTGCTGGAACAATGTAAGCCTCAAGCATTCACTTCTATTTGTTCTTAAATGCACTTTGCATTTCAGCATTATCTCGGGTCAGAAACTCAACATGGACAGTTCTGTAGGTCTTTATTCACATAAAATAAATAAATAAATAAAGACAAATGAAAGTACAAAAGCAGGCTTGTTTACTCTTGTGAATTTTTATTGTACTGGGTTGACAATCATTACCCACATGCAGTAAGGTGAAGGTTCAGATTGAATATTCAATGGTCTGACATAAATGTGTAGTTGAAAAGGTTCAACATGAGATGACTATTAGAGTTATCCAGATATTAATTTTTATTGATTAATTACCTAATTTCTTTATCCTTTATCCTTTATCATTTTCCCTTTTTCCTTTATTTAAGCTAATATGGTGGTCCTTTACCCAGTTCCATTCAATCTGGTTGGTTAGTTATATAGATCCTATGTGTGGGATCCCAAGTGTTTGGTTAGCTTGCTTAACATTTCCGATGAATATAATGTAGTAGCTTCACTGAGTTTTTAGTTGCCACTATTATACTGATCTTTCAAATGAAGCTCTAATGATGTTCTGAAGTGTGATATGAGAAATACTGTAAGCAGTTAAAAAAATGGCTCAATCTTACAAACTCTTTCCGAATCCCAAAACATATGTGGACCATAAGATGCTCAATTTTTATATAGACAAACTATACTTGTCTAAATACATTCAATTCTCCAGTTCTTTTGCAAGGTTTAATATTTTTATGTGTGTTTTCTTTTCTTTTCTTTTTTTTTTTTTGTAGTGGTTATTTGGCGCCTGAATATGCAATACGTGGACAGCTGACACGTAAAGCAGATATATATAGCTTTGGTGTTCTCCTCATGGAAATAGTCACTGGGAGATGCAGCACGAACTCAAAGTTACCTGTTGAAGAGCAGTTCCTTCTTGAAAGGGTAAGGTTCTTTTGAGCACTCACAACCATACTAGAGAAATTCTCTAGTATAAAGAAATTCTCTAGCTGATGATCATTATTTCCTATAACCAGGAGCATATGTGTGCTAATATCCAGTCTAAGATGAAACCTTGTCAACTCAACTCAACAAATTACGGGCCCCCAAATTATATCACTACTTCAACCTATGCGTTTTTTAGCCTTCCCCTTCCTTCAGTAGTTCAATCCATATCCTTTTTTTTGCCTTTTCTAGCTCTTCTACACCCTTTAACTTGTAATAGATCATTTCTTCTTGTGCTGTAAATGGTCTTCTATGCATATGTTCAAACCATCGTAGTCTTCTTTCTTTCATTTTACCACCTATTAGAGCCACTCATGGATTCCCATGAATATTCTCATTTCTAATCCTGGCTTTTCTGGTTTTAACTACTTACCCTTTTCAGATTCACATCTCTTGTCACACTTATTTTGGACACGTTTCTTGATTGCCTAGCACATTATTCAAAACAACATTGTTAGATTATAGATGCCTTACAAAGTTTTCCTTTTATTTGAATTTTAACTGTTTTTCTGCTTATTTGGAGGATTTGGAATCCTTTTTTTTTTATTTTGTTGGGGTGCGGGAGAATGCTAACGGCAGTACTGAAATTTTGTTATAGGTTATTGTGTAATAGGGCTTGCCAGGTTTTGACACCATACTTACGATGATCTTCCTGTTGCAGACATGGGTACTGTATGAGAGAAAAGAGTTAGTGGGGCTAGTAGACACAGCTTTGAATGGTGAATTTGATGCAGAGGAAGCTTGTAGGTTTTTGAAAATTGGGCTCTTATGCACCCAAGATGCACCTAAACTCCGGCCGTCCATGTCAACTGTTGTCAAGATGCTAACTGGGGAGATAGACATAACTCACAAACCAATATCAAAGCCGGGCCTGATCTCTGATTTCTTGGACCTCAAGGTTCGAAGTGTAGAAAACCAGAAGAACAGCAAGAATACAACCTACACTTCATCTGGTTCAGACAGGCAATATAATTTATCTTTGTCATCAGATAGCACAACCTCATGTGCCACAATGACCTTTACAGCCATACATGACCGAAGTGATTAAGGGACCTCCAATGAAAGCCTTTCTATTTTGTTTATATTTTATTTCCTGGTTTGATAGCCTTGTTTCTTTGTTTCTCCCCTGTAAATTTTGTGTTACAAGTTTTTACCCTAAAGGGTTCAAGGTTGAATGAGATCCATTGTTTGAATTCCACTGGTCTATGTTAGATCCAATCAAATCAAATTCCGATATCCTAGATCCTTATTGGATTGGTTGGATATATATATCTGATTGCAGTCCTAAAGTTATGCATAAAGGAAGAGGGAGCAAACTCAGTAAAGTAGACATGGACTTGGATCCAGCCCATAAACTTTAACCAAATAAAGGTTTTGGATATGTAAATATGATCATGGGCCGGGCCAGATTTTTACAGGATCTATATGTCTAGGCCTGCTCTCAGGTTAGACCGGGCTGGGCATCCAGGCTAATCTGCAGAAATTAATAATTTTAAATAAAATTAATTTAATTTTGTAATAAAAATTACAGAATGTGGTTTTTCCTGAGGTGATTAGGGTTTTAATCTTTTCTAATAGAGCTCCTTTCTTATCCTTAATAAATATTCTTTGGCCCCTATTTTTTGTTTCGGAAACTGAAACCATAAGCATGTTAACTTTGCTCTTTATATACAAATTTTGCATATCAAGTGTTTTTTTAACCAAACACTTATATTTATTTATTTATTTTTCTTTCTGGAACTTGAAATGTGACATTAACAGTATTAGTGACCTTGAAAACCTATGGATGATGGGTTCGACTATGATGCTGAAAAGATATGATACCCAAATAGCTTATAACCAATCAGGTGGGTTTTGATTGATCAAAGCCTGTCTGATATCACATCATTCTGACATCATAGATTTCCCATCGATGATACATAACGATGAATTAGGTAAACCATTCCTCCATATTTAGCTCATCCCAGTCAGGACTTGACTGGGCTTCCCATCAAAGCCACACTTCTATGAATGTATCTTCAGGAAAACAATCATTTTGTTCAATTAAGCCTGCTTCTCGTCTTGGTTTCCACCAATTTCTTATTTGCCTTCCTTTATGATCAATGTTGGGCTCTCTCACTGGGCTGCCTGAACCCTCAAACCTTTCCCAAACTTATTTGCCTTCCTTTATGTCCTTGTGCACATAATTAGGGGTGTCAATTGGACTGGATTTGGTCCAATCCGATCCAGTCCAATGTGTCTATTATAAATGGACCAGGTCCAATTCAGTCCAATGAATATTTTAGACCATTTTGAATCGGTCCAATTCAATGTCTGAACCATTCAAATTGTTCAAATTTGTTTTGATTTAGATTGGTTTAAATCCAAACCTGGTTACCTACATTCTTATCTTATATCAACTGATCAGATATTGGCTTAATCCAACCCAATCCAATATAAATTTATTACGAACAGACCAGGTCCAATTCAATCTAATAAATATTTTGGACCGGATTGGTCCAATCCAATATGTCTTGTTGGTCCATCTAATCCATTCAATTTGATTTTGGACTGGACAGGGTCCAATCCAAAACCGGTCCATTGACACCCTTACACATAATAATGTTAAAATCAAGAACAGCACGTTTACAAGGTGAAATGAAGAAACTAGGCGAATAAAAACCTTGAGATTAGGGTTGAGGGGGTTCAACAATTCAGGTTAGATTAGGGTAGATCTCAACCAGACTTATTCCCGGCTGTGCCTATGAATATATCTAGTAGGTTGTCTCAAATTGTTGACCAATTCTTTCTGTGCCTATGAATATATTCCTCCTCCTCCTTGGTGGCTGTACAAACACATGAAAAATTTTAGGCCCCGTTTGGTTCGTGTGAATAGGGGTTTGGAATTGGAATTGAAATAGGCTATTCTGATTCCAACTGTTTAGTTGGGCGGAATCGGAATCCCATTTCCATTCTTTCTGGAATGGCATTCTCCCATTTGAAGAAATGACCATTCCCTGCCTTTCCCTTGGGAATAAAATCCCACCCCAGGTGATTCTAATTCTCATTCCCATTCCTGTCTGAACCAAACAGACTATAAGAACGGATCACTCCAATTCCAATTCCAAAAGATTTTGATTCCAATTCAAATTCCAATTCTGATTCCAACTATGAATCAAATGGACCCTTAGCAATTCTTGCGCCCTATAGCATAGAACTTGGCTACAGTAAGACATGCCAATAGCAAACGTATTACTACCACTCTTAAGATATCATTCATCTTTTTTACAAATATCATTCATTAACTACAGATACCTAAGTCCATCATTTAGTTAAAGAGGCATTTGTTTTTCTTTGTGCAAAATGGCTGCTCTAATGCTTAAATCCTTGTCCCATATTTTTCAGCCCTAGATTTTATAAGGGCGGTGACTTGGGCCAGTTAGGGTTAGGGTTTGCCCCTTGAGCAATCCAACACAACCTAAACCCAACTCTACTACAACTAATGTACATATGTATTTTTGTTCGCCTATATACTATCATAATCCATTTATCTTAATTCATAGATATAACTATATGACTAAGGATTTGAAGGTATTAATTGTTTTTGTTTATTTATAGGAACTTGTCTATTTTGTTTACCTTTTTTTCTTCTAATTTGTTTTCCTAAATATGTTATTGCGCCTAATGTATGATGTATCAAACTATATGTTTGATTTTATTAGTTATTGTTAGTGAGTTTCACTTCATAATTTTATGTTTTAGTATTGCTGATTTCATGGTTTCATTTTTTAATATATTTATCATAATCTATAATAATTTTTAATCATTTGAAACATTATTTTTTTTCCACTTTTTGTACTAACAAAATCAATAAAAAACATCAAACAAGAAATTACCAATAAAAATGACATAAAAGTTGAGTTTAGGTCTCTTAGTCAATATTTGGTCATGAGAGAGAATTTGAGAGATATTATGAAATTTTAAGTGGATGGGTTAAAGGTTGGGTTGGGGCCAACCCAATCCTAATCCAACCCATTGGGTTAGGATTGACTAGATCAGGTTGAAGGTTTGGTTGGGGTTTTTTTAAAACCTTGGATTGATCTAGCACAGCACAGTACCAAAGTGGTACTTCAAAATGGAATTTACTGTTCCATGTTGCATATGATCAATTAAGTTGTTCTTTTATGCCTGTGTGTAATAAATCTTTGGATAACAATCTTTAGGCTAGTTTTAAAACGCATCTGGACATGTTAAGAGCCGGGCCACAAGCTTATAATTTCAGATCTGAAAACAAATATCAAAGACGCAGCACCAAATGAATCCGGTGTTCAGACACCAGACCTCTGATAAGCATTATCAAACGCCACCATAGAAAACTGTGGAAAAGATTTAAGGAGTTCAACAAAATGCTCTAATCTCAAGGAATCATTTAACTTAGAAGTTTAAATTTAGAAATGTCGACGAGCATAATTTTAGAAGTGAAACATATTGGATTGGACCAATTTAGTCCAAAATATTTATTAGATTAGATTGGACCTGGTCCGTCCATAATAAATTTATATTGGATTGGGTTGGACTAAGCCAATATCTGGTCCATTGATATAAGATAAGAATATAGGTGTCAATGGACTGGGTTTGGGTTGAAACCAATCTGAATTAAAATGAATTTGAACAGATTGGGCGGTCCAGACATTGAATTGGACCGGTTCAAAATGGCCCAAAATATTTATTGGATTGGATTGTGCCTGATCCATTTGTAATAGACTCACATTGGACTAGATCAGATTGGACTAAATTTAGTTCCATTAACACCCCTAGTGTGGAGGAGCATAAGTCAATCCATACCTTGTGATAAAAATTAAAAAATTTAATTAATTATAATGGGGTGATAAGAACCTAAAAGCTTAACCTATTAGGTGAGGTCACTGATTAGGTTTTATCCTTTTAACATGCTCCTTCATGCAAAAGTCCACTGGGCTTGAACTCTGAATAAACACAGGCCCACTTATACCTTGTGCTAAAATTTAATTAATTATAATGAGTCTGATGAAAATCAAAAACTAGACCATTCCGTCAAACAGGCTTTGATATCACCTCAATAATGGCATTTTGCCGATGATACACAGCACAGTAAAAATTCCTTCCCCAAAGTCGGTGGCTGTAGGAATCAAATAGGTTTTCATTCTAACACATAAGGATTTTACAATTTCTTAATGAAGGAAACACAACATTAATGATTGTGAAAATTTTTCCTTAACATTTCATGAACAAAAGTGTATTAATTTTCATTTTTGTCTTGTAGAAGTTCCATATAGAATATTAAAAAATAAAAAAAAAAAACATTATCATGTCAGATGAAAATTACCTTGTTTGGTACTATGCCAATCAAAAACCAAAAACATTAACAAGCATGTATTTACAGAAGTATTTTCATCAACCTGTGATTGGCTTGGCTGGTCGAACTAGTACTGATCTGGTGACCTGGTCTTAATACTGGTTTGGGTGAAGCCACAAACCCGGTCGATTGAGCAATTGACCCATCTAACCCGTCCAACGGGCCACCAGGTTCTTGTATAGTTTTTTGAGTTATTGATGACAGTTAAACCAGTGACCCATTGACTAGAATGGATAAAAGCCATTGAATCTCTGGGTGAGGTTTCGAAACAATGATACAGCCTGTTAAATAAATTTATACATTAAAAATTATATTGTCCTATTGGCCGTAGCTGATTTGATCATTTATTTAAATTAAACTTCCTGGAGGAATTCAGCAGCACACAGCTATCCTAAATCCCTTATACCTCTCCACAATTGGTTACTATTGAAAAGAATTGTACTTGTATCAAGAGTCAAGACCCACCTAAAACCTAAAAAGTAATCTAATGTTTTTAGGTTTTCTGAGATGTGTTGGGGGGACTTTTGTGAAAGCAAAAAAGAAAAAGGAAAGAAAAGATGTGTTGGGAACATTCTACATGGTGGGATTACACCTTTATTTGAATTTTATAAAATAGCTCACTTCAAGAAATCAACTGTGCATAAAAGGCTTAAAGTGTTTGAGCACTACTCAGAAAGGCAGTTGCTAAATGGCTCTTTGTCCTGTTGTTTGTCTTTACCTGTCACATAATATGGACTATAATCGTATTATATCTTCTAGAGACCCTGCCACAACATATTAAAAATATACTCCATACACAAAGTGAGTCTTAAATGCAGTTTTTA